GTTTTGTTCTTGAGGTTCATTAAATTCCTTTTTTGAGTGTGCCAGAAGTTCATATCCATTCTGCTCAGGTTTCCTCACTCCCAGCTCTGATGTGGTGCACATCACAGTGTGATCATTAAGTGTGATTACTGCATTTTTGACCTATTTAAAAGTGTCTGGCTGTGAAATTCCAAAGATTCTAATTTAAGCTATAAAACAGATTATTAATGTGCTGCGCTTACACATTTCATGGCTCATTTCCTGATTACAGCAGTTTTGAACGTGTACGTGTAGGCTGTTCCAGTGCATGTGTATAAACATCCTACACCATGTTCAGCCTGGTCACCTGGCTCGGGAGTCACGTCCCACGTACCTTCCACAGCTTAAAAACAAATAGAAGAGAAAGCCACAAGTGGGGGAAGTTGCTGTCAAAAGGCCTGATGCTTTCTGCAGGGCTGGAACTCTGCAGGGTGTAGGAATGGGAGTCATGCAGGGGTATGGAAGCTGGGCAAGGAATGTCTTAGACAATCCCCTGCTGTGACCCGTGGACTGGAGAAGGTGCCCTCTGAAAGCATCAGGGATCCATGGCTGTCCCTGGATTGCTGCCAGGAGACTTCAGCTGTACTGAAACTGGAACATGGACAAGATGCTGAGCCTAGTCAGTGGATCTGCAGAGAGAAAAGATGAGATCTTCAATCTTTTCCATCACTTCATTCAAAATCTGTTAACCTGCTCATGGAACTGAAACTCTGCAGAGCCTCCTTATCCGGGTGTGCAGAAAGAGTTTGGGGTTATGGTTACATGGGTCACTTATGATTCAGCCATTAGGATGAGCCAGCATGGAATAATTCACCAGGGTTACAGGTGCAGCTGCAAACAGTGGGTCCAATAGAGACATTCGGGTAGAAAGATCAAGAGCAGGTGAAAGTGTTGTAGAAAATACCCTGTGAGGAGTTTCCATGCAGTTACATTCAGTCTTCTCCCGGTGAGGACATAAAGAAGAGGTTGTCTTGCTGTGTTTCATAGGATTAGTTACGTGCTGAAAACTGCACCTGGAGATTTCTCTCTGAGCTGGGAACATGTGTAAAGCTAGATGTGTGACTGGCTGAGTTTGGTGCTTTGTTCCAGAGGGGCTGACCCTGGTTCCCACATGAGCAGCCAGATATGGATATCTGCCTCTGTGTGAGATTAGCAGTGATTTTGTACAAGTTTGGGATGCAGGATAATAAAAGCAGGGTCTGGAGCAGGTGTGATGCTCTGTATCAGGGTGAGATTTGTACTTCTACTCCTGGCATGTGCACACCCTAAACAGCATTTCAGTGTGTATTGCTTAGAACTTTATGAAGGCAGAGTTACTGCCATTTGTTCCTCAGTTGCTGGAACTGATTTGGATCCTTTGGCTCCTTCTGTCTTTCTCCCAACTGGAACGTTGGTAGCAAGGCTGGCTGAGCCCTGGTGGAAGGTATCATTGCATAGTGTACACAGCTAGGAGAGCTTGTCGTTTGCAGTTGTCTTATTTCTTAATGTGGTGTAGTAAATTATAAATGTACACAAACACCTACAGAGTGTTTCATTCATGAGCTGCCAGACTGCAGTGTGCTTTTTGAAAGGGCTGTTTTGGGGGTTGTTTTTGTTTTGTGAGATAATTTCATTATCTGATACCAGGCATTTCCTAAAAGTAAATCGATCACATGGGGACTCTGTGTCCATTAGTGATTCTGCTAATAAAAATTTGGGGTTTTTTTTTATTCCATAAAAGACCTTCTGTAGCACAGTCTTTTTATGCTTTATGGCAGTTACTAGCTGTTATTAGGTCATTTTAGGAAGGTCATTGTTTGCTGATGGGTGTGCTGTGGGGCTTGGAAGCATATGCCACAACATCCTGTAGGCCAGCAGAAGTATTTGAAAGTATAGATTCTTATGAAAACGTGCAGGAGGGTTGTATAAATAAGGATGGTTACGGGGAGTCCCTCTCGTGGCATTACTCACATGCCTCTTCTGGGCTGCAGCAGTGCTAACAGCCATCCCATTTGTGTATTAAAGCAAGGATCTTCCTAAGTGGAACCACAAATGACAGCAGAATTATGATTTAAGGGCGGTCAGTACTGATGGCAAGCCCAACATAACATACAAGCCTGGCTGCGGTTAGGAGAATGTGCCCATCTAATAAGCAGCTTAACTTGGTGTATTACTGTGAAATAGAAAGAACCATGGAATATGTGATGTGAATAGCAGGCTGGATTTCCCTGTCACTTCGTATTTATGTTCCTGGAGCAGCCCTGGTTTCGCCAGGGTTACTTCTGAATTGTACCTAAGGGAATGAGAGGTGGATTTCCCCCTTCTCAGCACCTTTCTTTTTAATCTGGAAACTGTACTATTATTTCTTTGGTTTAGCCTTAGATTTGAAGTTTTCATATGAGATAAAACGTGTGCTAAATATCTTAGCCGTAAACTAATTGGTCCAAATGTTTTATTTTTCCAGTTCAGCTGTTAACTGATACAACTTCATCCAACTCTATTGAAGAAAATGGGCGTTGTTCCTTTTTCAGTAATAGCAGTTGAATTGGGCCATTAAAGGCCAATTCCAGGAGAGATATTAGCAAATACTAAGGCTTGATCCGCATCACTTTGCAGCCAATAAATCAGCAATTGCTGTCTACACAACAGCAGGTCTAGCAGGGTTTGAGTGTCTTTGAGATTGGGAGTCTTCCTCTTGAGTATTGCTTAAGTTTCCTGAAATCAGTTAAATTGAGATAAAGCCAATGACGACTTCGTGTCTGTTGGAGTTGCTCAGAATTTATGTTCCTCACTGAGAATAGATTTGTGCTCTGCTGTGGGTTAGGGAAAGTGAAAACTTTTTTCCCTTGAACTGTAAATACCCTGCTGAATATTTGTATTCTAAAGGTGTTCAACAACCACTGAAACAGTGTTTCCAATTTGCCTTAAATCACTTCCTGATCGTTTCTGTTACAGGTATCCAGGTTTTACTTTTTGTAGGCTTTTACATGTGTTAGGTTTCTTTTTAAAATTGTTGTGTCTCCCTTCCCTCCCATCGGGATTCTTTACAACCACGTCTCAGGGGTTTCTTTGTGGAAAGAAAAGCCTGTTGGTACCAGGCTGTGTGTTTGGGTGTTTCAGCAAAGACCACAAGAAACCGGAGATTCTGTCCTGCACACCTTCCCATCCTGATGTTTTGACAAGCCCCATTTTAGAGCTCTTATGGCAAATGATTTTTATGGGCACGTGTGGAGAGGAATGTGCAAAGTGCCTGAGATGGTAGTGACTGGAAGAAGCCTGACAACTGCTTTGTGTAAGATGATCTGTGTTGGGAGGAACAAATGGTGCATTGAGATGACAAATGGAGCGGCAGAGGTGCAGCTGGGCTGTGCCATAGCGGGGATGCCGCCAGGCAGCTCCATGGAAGGAGTTTGTAGTCGATATAAACAATTTCCTCTTAGCTTTAAGCTTCTTGATGAATTAATGATATAATTCTCATTGATTTAATTAAATCAGATTCCAGGGGCTTGATTTGCAGAGTTTTCTGGTGGTAGTTTTATAACTAGGTGGACAAATAAATGGCCTTTATTTTCTTGCCTGCCGGGTGGGGTGTCTAGTGATAATTACTGCATTTATCAAAGTGTCCTTCCATGTTGGAAGCAGGCTGGTTTCCACTTGTGATAGACAGAAGGAGGGACAGTGATAGTCTGGGACTCGTCCAGTGGCTGCTGTGTGACGGCTCAGAGCACAGGAGGGAGGTTGTGGCACCCTAAAATCCAGGCTGGTCCCATCGCTCATCCTTGGGGCCACACCGTGCCCTTGCCCTGGGCAAACCACCAGGCCTGGCACTGCTGCCTGCCCCAGGGGTGACTGCTGTCACCAATTAAAGCTCAAGTGCAAAGATTTGAGATTTCGATACCATCCCAGCTTAGCTTTTCACCTGGTGAGAACATTGCTCTGATTAGTTTTGGTTTCTCTCACACCAATTTGAGTTTGAATGTGTGTTGGCTTTTGTCAGGAGATCAGGGAGGAATTAAAGCTGCATTCTACTTAATTGTTCCTCAGTAGTTCAATCATGACAAACTTGCTCCACCCCAGCTAGTAAAATAACACTTAAGAAGACTTAATTAGAGTCAATACCTGAATTTTATTTATATCTATCTTTTTACTTTTACTAATTACTGTGCTGAGTAGTAAGTTTAATAAGACCAGTTTGTAAGATGGATGACAATAAAAACATGGGAAGAGGAGAATGCTTGGGTTTTTTCCTATAACGGGACTGGAGGAGTTACCCATACCCATGGATTAGATTTGCAAAGCCTTCAACCCTCCTCATTGGTATTTTTTTCCTAAAAACAAAGATTCTGTCAGCACAAGTCACCACGTCTCCAAGAGGGCCGTTTACCTTTCATAAAAAATAATAAAGGCCTGTATAAATACTCCCCATATGCTGCTGCTGGATTGTATTAGTGAAATATGTCAGTGTTTGTGGCATGTGCAGCCCTGTATTTCATGGCATTGCTTGAAAAATGTCAGACATTCCTGTGAGTTATTTGGAAGACAGTGACAAGCCAGTTTGGCAAAGCAGTGTCCTGAAGAGAGCATTTGCAGGCTCCCAGCAGAGGCAGACGTGTGTGACCAGTGCTCCAGCCCGTGTGCTGCTGCAAGGATGGATGGCTGTGGGGCTTCCCCATTTGCTGGGTTTTCCCAGTGTGACCTGTAGACCAAGTGCTTAGAGGCACCAAGCAGATGCCCACGAGGATCTTTTCTGCATGGCTTCCAGAAATTTGTAAGCAGGGAAAGCAGAGTGGGTTTTTGGGTTTTTTTTTGACATCTTATGTGCTGCTGGGTGTCTACTATACCATGGTATTTCTTAGCCATGTCTTTACTAAGCTTCTTGGATAATCTGTGTGTTGCCAGGACATGCTGCAGAACTCAGCAGACACAGCAGAATCCAAGGCTGTGGTCAGCCTCCAAAGCAACTTCCACCTGCCAGTGCTGGCTGGAGTCGGTTGAACCCCTGTACATCTGGTGCAGATGTTTGCATTGGTGACCAGAGTTGGATTTTTTGAGCCAGAAGAGCAGGGCTGCTCAGGGACAAGCTGGGTTTGGATTTGGGCAGCTGAGGAAAAGGTTACCCCAGCCACCCTTCCTGCTGAAGCTGTTGTGCTCTGCCTTCCCCATCCAACAGGGACAACTGATAGTAAAGAGCAAGCAAGAAGCAGCTTTTGCCTGCATCTTTTTTGATTTTTATCTAGTCCCTGAGCCTTCACTGTATTATCTCCTTAAATCTCTGTGCCTGACACTTTTGCTTTAGCACAGTTGAATGTATTACTGTCCTGGGTTGTAAAAGAAAAGCATGTGCTTGCAAGCTTCCATAGGCTTCCTGGGAGGGTTTGGAGTAAATCTCCCAACGTGCAGCTGCCCGCTTCAATTCTCCCTTTTCATGTAGCTCTTTTTTTAGCAGTGAACTATTGGGAGGATGAGTTGCTATATGCAAATTTGAGATTAAACCTTTTGTGTTTCCAGCATTTTCTGTTTGAATTGCTCAAAGAGCGGTTGCAGGTTCCCAGCTTTGGGCTCTGGCTAGGCAAATGCCCCGGCTGAGGGCTGGGAGTGTTGCTGCATTTGAGGCTCAGCGTTCCCGGGACAGTGAGTGACAGGATTGATAAAACCTGTGGGTGGGTGATTTGTACTGCAGGCAGCAGCAGCACAAAGTGGGGGCTCTTTTGGTTAATGAATATTGAACTTCTCCTGTCTAACAGCAAGTTTGTCCTGTCTCCAAATGAGCATCTTTGCAACAGGCTGAGCTGCAGGCAGGGGGGGCTGCTTGGGAATTCATTAATTCCTGTCTGGGTGATGAGTGTGCTCCAAACAGGGCTCTGCTGGTCACCCAACAGTTGGTGCCATACAAGATGACTTTTTCTTTTTTCAGTTGTTCAGTTCTAATTATTTTCCTCTCAAAAATCTTCACTTAGGGTTGGATGCTTTTCTCTGGATGTTTTTCTCTAGCTGCCTATATTGCATTTTCTGCATGACAATGTCATCAAAGAATTGATGTAATAAATTTGTGCACTCGGCAGTCCCTAAATTCAGCTCTATTTGTGGCAGGAGTTCCAAAAGGCAAATGCATCTCAGAAGCATTGTGACTGTTGCATGAAATGGTAATTGTAATGCATGGAAGATCAGCTGCTGATTTATTTTTATTAGTGCAGATGAAAATTACTATGATGTTTCAAGTAGGGCGTAAAATAATATCTTTAATCTCATTCCAGGAGGAATATTAACTTCACATTTTGTATTTCTTTTCTTTCCCTAACCACTGAAAAATGCTTAGTATGTGATTTGAGTGTCTGTTCTATCATGTTTATGTAGGAAGGTTTCTCTCTTTTTTTCATGCTCTTAATAGGAAAAGTGTGTTTTTATTTGTCATGTTTTATGTAGTATAGAAGTTCCAGTTCCTTTGATCAGAAAAGTCTCAGTTTTTAAGCAGAAATGTGCATTGATCCCCCTAGACAAAAGCACATTAGGGAATACTTTTCCAAACAGGTCATTGCAGTTGAACTTCAATTTAAAATCCACCCCAGAGTCAAACCTTTGCTCCCAGCAGGAACACCTGGGCAGCCACAGCTTGTGGAAGGGACAGTTTCTACTCTTGGTTTTTACAGGTGACAACCAATTTGTTCCTGGAGACTTCACAGATACAGAAGTAGCTCCCTTGGAAGGCTGGCTGTAAATTGAGGTTCTGGGCAACGTCTGTGTGCTTGAGCCTCCACTTCTGGAGTGTCCCCAGCTATCTTGGCATGAGCTGCAGGGAGGATAAGCCCTTTGTAGATTTCAGCTGTGTCCTGTCTGTGACAGGTTAATCTGCTGCCCACATCCATGCCTCGGGGTGGTTGGCAGGTGAAACCAGCCCTGGAAATGGAAAGAAGTGCTCGTGCTCTTCCTGCTGCCATTTCGGGGCTGGCACGTTATGAGAGGTGAGAGGCACGATGTGTCCCAGCTTTTCTAGCACCCCTGCATGCTGTGCTGCTGCTGTACAGACCAGGTCCTTCTGTGAGTGTTAACTGGTGGCACTGGCCATGCCAAACATCCCTGAAGAAAGAGTGAGGATTCTGCTCATGTGACTCAGCACTCCTGCTCTGAGCTACCAAAACAGAGGAGGGTAAGCAGAGCTGTGAATAACTAAGGGTTTTCATCCCTAGATAAGTTAACAAAAACCTGGTTATGGCCAAGCCAGGACTTCATACCTGCAAGTGAGGACATGAATGTGTGGTTCTGTCATATTGTCCTGAGTGCTACTGTAAGAGCATTAGGTAGCAGTGGTGTTTCAGGGGGGTTAATTGCTAGCCTAAATAGCATTGTGGGGGAAAATTATAGAAGGCCTTGAAGGGAATATTAAAGGATTCAAGTATTGCTTAAAGTATTAACAGAAGATGCACATGTAGGTGTGTGCATGCATGTGTGTAATTGACAAAGCAAAGCCTTTGAATTGGAAATCATTGGTACAGAAATACAGTTAAGGGTTTAGAATGGACGTAGTTCAAACAGCCATAGGGAGAAGTCAGCAGTAAAAAGATGTATGGCAAGGCATTCACTTCTTTATCAATATATTGATTATACTGAAGGTGGAGTGTGTGAAGAGATGGGTCTTCTGGTAGGAAAGGAAAATGTATTTTGGGAAATGGGGAAAATCACTGAAAGTGCTGTAAGATATTTTTAACACATCTTTCTAAAAGTCTGGAGAGGGTCCTTGTGAGTTTTGCTCTGTGTTCCAGGAGGTTGACGACTGTCCTCTGTCTGGGAAAAGCTTTGCACTGGTGAAGAAATCGGTGTGGTCTAAGACTCCACAGGTATAAGAGAAAGAAAGTAATGATATGAAAATATTTATAATGACAAGAAATTGTACACTGCTGAAGTTACACTTCTGCTGTGAATAATTTTCCATAATGAAAGTCAAGAGTTGGGCATCCTGGTGAGTTAACTTTGACTGTTTGCAGTGAGAGCGCTCAGAGCTGTTCCTGAGGAGGGCCAGGTTGATGCTTATTATTTCATAAAACAACTCAAATAGTCTTTCTCTGTCAACAGCACATAGTCTACTAAGGGTTATGATCAGTTGGCCTGGGGAGTGATCATCTGGATTTGTGTAGTCTCTCCCAAATGCCTGACCTGCCTTGGATCCCACTGTGTGCAGTGCTGGTGAGCATGTCCTCATCTGGGCTAAGCACTCTGTGTGTGTAAAGCTTTTTGTTGGCAACCTTTTGGGAGGAATTTGGAGGAAGTGGCTTTAGGAGTATTAGAGGTTGAGCTGGGCAGAGACCTGATAACCCACGCTGCTCTTGTTACTGGTCTGTCTGCCATTGACCTTGTTAGTGATTCCCCTGCCCCCTCTCAGCAGGTTTAGGGTGTCTGGGGGACTGTGATGGAAAGCTGCCATGTTTGTGTGCTCCAGAGTGAAGTGGGAGCAGGTATCCATCAATGGTCTCCACCACTTGTGTTTGCTCAAGCTGTGTGCTCACTCACTTGTTGTTGGTGTCCAAGGCCACTGTGGATATCTGCACAGTGCTAGGGATGCTGAGCCTGTCCTGTCCATACCCTGCAGTGGGCACACTGCACAAGCACTCTTAACTCCACCCAAACCAGCTCACACTGTGCCTCACTGTTCACATGAAAATACACAGTGGCCCCCAGGTACTGACAGTGTGAGAGATGTGATATCTGTGCAGTGCAGGCTATGGAGCCAATTCATTGCTTTATACTGCAGAGCATAAACGTCCCCCAAGAGCCTTCTGGTCACAGGAGGCAGCTCATTCCTGTCTCCTGAGCTTTTGTATAACCAATAGGCTGAGCTACTTTGGGGTTTTTTTACTACTAAGTGCTAAATCTTTGAAAGTACCAGCTCCTGTGGGAGGTATTGGTATTTTTAAGGATTGCTTGGTTTCTGCTTGCAAATACACTGCTTGTATTCCTGGATGAAGATATTCTTGGAATACTTTAGTGTGAACCCTCCAGTGGGCAATCTTTTATTGCAGAATAATGGGCCTTTGTCCAATTTAACATAATGTACTTTGGAAGTGGAAGCCTGTAGTTTGTTGCACAGGAAATGCACTCATTTACCAAATCTCATTAATTAACTGGCATCTATTTAAGGGAAGTCTCTTCTCTCATGTGGTGTTTAAAATCTCATCTATCATAAAAAGTAGCTCTTTAGTTTTTTAGGGTTCATCTTTAATTTTACAAATTATTCCTTCTGCATATTAAAGGTAATTTTTCTGCTGTTTCTTGTTATGAAAAAGGGACCTCAGCTTTGACAATTACAGTTAAGCTGCTCAGAGTAGTGTGGCAGCTCTAGTGCTTGCTGCCAGAAGCTGGGGCTGTGCTCAGGACACTGCGTCTCTGCCGTTCGACATCATATTCTACGTGATGAAAAACTAAAGTAGCTATTTTTTTTCTTCTGTGTGTAACCCCCACCACTTCTGAAAGGTACAAGATTCATCTTCTGGCTGCCAATCTACAGAGCTTTGCCCACAGCAGAGACATCCAGCAGTGCCTGCACTGCACCAAGTGTGTCGGACAAACCTCGTCGCCTCTCCTGGGCTCTGTCGAAATAACCGTGCAGACGTTTCTCCTCAGCCACCTCGTCTTTGCTCCTTCCCTTGCTTCACTTTGTCATTTCCAGGTCACTTCCCTTGCCTTTGTCAGCATGTTTAGCGTTGCTCCGTGTAGGCACTGCCCTCAGGAGCACTGTCGTGCATACTAAATCCGTCTGGGGCCACGGCGTGGAGTGGCCCATCCACTTGGGAGTGAGATACAGCCTTGGGGAAGAGCAGGCAAGCTGCTGACCTTCTGGAGGTCAGCTCTGTGCAGCCACACAGGCACCTCCTCCTGTCCTCGCAGAGTCAGGGTGCCAGGGTGGCCCTTGTGCAGGTGGGTGCACTGCTCCTGCCACCCCTGGCTGCTCTGACTGATCTTCAGTGGTGCCTGAGCCAATCTATTTCAGTAATGCAATTATTCTCATTGAGCTTAATCAATGAGCCACAGAGCAATCTACTGGTGGCTCCAATCAGTGGAATTACTCAGAAGGATCAAAATGAGCTGCTCTTTCTGAAAATGAAGCTGTCATTCGCACAGAAATTTGAGTTTGAGGGAACCCTTTTCTCTATGCAGAGCATGCTGTGACTCAGAATACCTATTCATGCAAGTCCTTGTCCTGCTGTGATGTAGGGGTAGGGGTCTGTGCACGTTTGGGAGGATGAGGATCCCAAAGCAGAAGGGCCAGGGTGATAACCTTACTGAGAGAATATAAATAAAGGGCTGCAGAGAATCCTGCAGTTTGCTGTCTCCCTGCCAGCAGCACCAGTGCAGAGGATAAAAGATTGTTTCAGTGGGCCCAGCAGAGTGTCTTGAGGTCAGTGTGGCACAGCCCAGACTGTGATCGCCACCTGAGGTGGAAGTTTGTGCAGCTGTCCTGCTGTGAGCTGCTGTGTCTGGTACCTGCTGGCATGAGCCTGCTGTCCCCATGCAAATGTTCCTTATACCTTCAGTACCAACCACTGAATACACAGCGTGTGGGCAGCTCCTCCTGCCTCTCTCACATGTGCTCGTCCTTCCAAATTACAGGAATACACGGAAGATTTCAGGGAGTGGGGAGGGATTTGGTGTGTGTGAAAGCTGGCACTGCTGTGTGCTTGGCAGGATTTTGTCCAGGCTCACAGCTGAACGAGGGGAGGCCAAATGTGCCCCCCTGTCTGAGCGTGCCTGGGCACAGCTGTGGGGAGGAATCCTGCAGACTGTCAGCCCCGTGCTGGGATTTTTATGTGCACATCTCTGCCTGCACTGGTTGTGTTACTCTGCAAACCTGCCTGGGTCTGCTGACTAGACCCGAAATCCCACAGTGCTGTCTCCTCCCCGCCATGTGCTGGATGCCACTTGCTCACTGAGAGCATGGCTTGAAGGTTTTACCCTGCCCATGAACTGATGTCAAAAGGGAGTCTCTGTCCTCTTTTGGAGCTGTGAATCTCCTCCCTGTGCCTTGCCTCAGGTTTGCAGGTTGTGGCAGTGACAGGAGCGGGCAATGTTCACTTTTGATAAGGGGCAGGGCAGTCCTTGGAGGGGTTTTTACCTCTTGGTGTTTTCATTTGCTGCCAGATCAGCAGATTGAACGGCCTCATGACACTTTCTGCTGCAAGGAAAGGAGGCAGCAGTGGGAGAGCAGGATCTCCTTCACTCTCTGCATGGTCACGCCACATTATGTTTAACATCCAAATGCTGTCTTAACTACTTCTTACCTTGGATGTGACTGCAAGTGGAAACTGCTGAGCTTTTATATGATTATTTTTGAGTTCTGAGTATCAAAATGCAGCCACAAATAGCTGTTTGGCTCTATAAAGTTAAAATGTTGGGTGCATATAGTGATTATTGTCAGACTCTTAATCTGGCTGGGTTAAGTGAGAAGCTGATGGTGAGATGTGAATACTTCCATGCTTTCAGAGACCTCGGTTCCCAAGTTGGAGATCAGGCCCAAATGTTCACAGTGACACTTCCCAAACTGCCTCATCCCAAAGGAGGGTAACATTCCCTGCCCATCTTTGGGCCTTCAGTTCAAGTTCTTGAGTTCAGTTCCTGTCTCTGGTCAACCCATGCTGTCCTGCAGAGGTGTGAGAGACAAATCTGAAGGCATTTTGAATTGCCAGAGACATTTGTATGTTGTGTATTTGAAATCTAGCTGGGGAGGAAGGTTTGTTCTATACTACATTACTGTTATTTTAAGGTATTGGTTTGGGTGTTTGGACAGTTTTCGTGCTTTATTTGTAATCTTCTCAAA